CAGAGCCGGAAAGTCCGAGCCGGGGCTCCCAGTCCGAGGGGTCAGGCGGCGGCTGGAGAGGTTCCTTGGGAACCGACACCTTCTCCGGTTACTAATCTGGATGACAGCAGCCCCGGGGGGGCCCCCGACCGCGCTCCTCCGCACCTCGCGGACCTCGGGCGCGGAGGGCTGTGCCCCTCGAGGAGTGGCTGCCCGAGGGCTGTCCGGCCCGGCCGCTGGGTGACGGCGACAGCGCCCTCTCGGCGGGGCCGGCTGCGCTGCCAGAGCGCGCGGAGCGAGCGCCCGGACTGAGGGAGTTCGTGCAGAGGGGTGGGCGCCGTCCGGCCTGGGCCTTGGGGAAGTCCCCTGGAGTCCCTCCCCCAACCTTCCAGCTCCGGCCCGCGAGAGGGTGGCCTTGGAGCCCCGATCCCGCTCCCACACGGCGGGGCTGAAGAGAAGGGTTCCCGCCCCTGACTCCCATCCTCGCCCCCAGCCCCCCAGAGAAAGAGCCTGGATTGGGCAAGTCAGGGCGACCCCCCCTCAATGCTGCTCCAGCTCTGGGCGCTTCTAGCCTCTCTTGCTGAAGCTGGAGGTGAGGTAGCGGGATGGATTTCTCTGGTCCCAGGGGCAGACTGAATTTGGCTGCCCATTTAGGATAGAGGGCGGTGGTGGGGAACGGGATGGCAGGTGGTACGTTGTTTTCATGTCAAGGCACTGCCTTGGTGGAAAGAATTTTGACATCCAGGTCTTCCCCATTTAAACTAGCCTGTGTTCCTGGGCAAGTGACTTAACCACTCTGATAATCAGTTGTCTCCCCTGTAAAATGAGAATTATTAATACCACATGTATGAGGGAGCATTGCGAGGATTAAATAAATGTAGGATTTCTAGTACACACACACACACACACACACACACACACACACACACACACATATTATTTACGTGCACACACATATATATTTCATAGTTTGTCACCACAACCATTGTCCTCATCACAAGGCAGAAGCCAAATCATAAAGGCCCTGTCTGGGTGGGACTAAAGACTTTTGACTTTATCTACTAGGCAATGAAGAAACGTGGATGTATTTTAAGCAGATATCAATACAAAAAAGTCTTCCACTTTTGATAGAAAGGGACAGCAGGTTGGAGCACAGGTTGGAGAGGGTAAGCCTGGAAAAGGGAGACTTGTTAAGAGGGCAATTCAGTAAGCCAGACAAGACACGATGGTGCCCGGGCAATGCCAGGCTAGTCGTACAAGTCAAACAAGGCATGGTCTGCCTTATAGAATTCACACAGAATGTATCAGCTAGGATGGGATAGATTATGCAGTGGCAACAAAAGACCTCCAGAACTCAAAGGCTACATACATGTTCATACTATATGTCTGCAATGGGTCCCACAGCCCTGCTCCATACTGTTTGCACTCTGGGATTCAGGCAGACAGAGAAGGTTCCATTTGAGACATGGCCAGTCTTGTAGCAGAGGGACAAAAGAGCAGGACAAGCCACATGCTGGCTGGTAAAGCTTATACCCTGGACTTTGCCATCACCCCATCTTTCAGGTTCCTTCTTCCTTCACTTCATTGAACTTCTTTATCCAACTCAGTTATCCTACACTAAGGATACTAGCGTCTTTGAAATTCCTGAAATGTTGAAGGACAAAAATTTTGAAAGATGGAAATTTTTGTTTAGTACCATAAAAATTGTGTAGCTGTTGCCTCTGAGACTGATAGATGTTGCACATTCTGTGGGAGAGATCATCTAGCATCAAAGATGTCATTCCCTGGTATGGGCTCAGTCCCTTGCTGGTGGGATAGCAGGAGCAGATGAGCCTGGAAGTGCAGTGAATGTGACAGCCAAATAAAGACTGAGTCTGTTTAACCTGTTCCTTTCTTCCTTCTGTCTCTTCTGAATTTGGATTTTTAGTTCTGGAGCATAACAACCCACAGGACATGAATTCTATCTATCGTCTTTCTGTATTAGGGATGCACTTCTGGTTGTAGTAATATGGAGGTAGCCTGAGTTAAAAAAAAATAGGCCTTTTCTGGGATTTTCAGGGATGCAGCAGAGCCTTTGGAAAGAGGTGAAATTAGATATTTAAATATTCCAAGTCTTTCTCTCTGATGCTCATTTTTCTTCTCTCTGTGTCTGCTTTGTTCTTCTCTTTCCTTCTGTAGATTAATTTCCTACTTTTCTCTGGTATTTGTGTGGAAAAGTGTGGCCTCAGAAGTTCCAGTGTGTATGTGTTACCAATCTAGTTACCTAGAGGCAGACAAGTTAATCTCTTAATCTTAGAGTCTCAGGGAAAGAATTCATTGGATCATTTTGGGGGAGGTGTCCGTTTACAGTCCAGTCAGCTATTAGGTGCCATGGTTGCCAGGAGCTCCTTTGCAACTTGACGAGACCTCATCTCTACAATAAATCAAAAAATCAGCCAGGCATGGTAGCACTTGCCTGTAATTCCAGCTACTTGGAAGGCTGAGGCGGCAGGATCGCTGGAGCCCAGCGGGTCGAGGCTGCGGTGGCCGGGAGCGGCCACTGCACTCCAGTCTGGGCGACAGAGTGAGATGCCAACTCAAAAAAAAAAGAGTAGAGTTGGGAGGGGAGGAGTGCTCAGAAGAAAAAGGTGGGGTTATTTTTTGGGAACTGAGTTCAATCTAAGCAGTACCTGATACATTTTCTACCATTTAACATCGTTCTAGAGTCTAAACTCCTTGAAAGTAGAATATATAGCTCTGAATTTCAGAAAGGGCTTGGGGACATATCTCATATAACAACAAGACAAATTATAAACACAATACATTCTGCTAAAGAATGGTATCATCAAAATATGTATAGGACCAAAGCTTGGAAAACTAGAAAGATGTATTGTTATATTAAAGAACAATGAAATAAATGGTATGTTCATAAATGGAAAGACTATAATGGGAAGATCACAACACTTCTCCAATTAATGTATAGGCTCAACACAATTCCAATGAAAATCCCAATAGAAATTTTCTTGGACCTTGAAAAAATGAGTCTTAAAGGTCATCTGGGAAATCACACATATAAATTGTAAAAACACTTTGAAAGTGAAAGCAATAATGTCAAGGCTTCATTAACCACATATGAAAATAAATTCAATAACTAAGTTAATTAAAGCTATCTAGTATGGTGCAAAAATTATCACATTTATCAAGAGTAGAATGCAGATGTCAAAAATGGTACTGTGTATACTTATCAGAACTTAGTTTAAGATAAAGAATAATTACAAACCCATTGGTTTTGAGAAAATTGACTCTTTTGGAAAAAAGTTAGATCCTGTTTTGTGATAATATTAGGATCCTTGAAAGCTTCTTTTATCACTATGTAACTATTTTTTTCTTTTTCTGGGAGAAGTATATAATTAACACATTGTAACTATTGTCTCCTGTTCTTAAGTTGGTTATATATGCATATTTGTCTTGTTTTTAAGAAAGATAGACAATAGAAAAGATGGAGAAACAGCAAGTTTGCCAGTTTCTAATACTCAAAGACTTTTTGTTAGGAATTATGCTGGGGCATTATCTGTGTTTCCACTAAAGTACAGAGAAAAACAATTTTTAGTATCCTGATGGAGACTTATAATTGGATATAGTTATGGGCTTACAATCTCTTCTCCAGGTAGTAAATGAAAAGGGTCACACAACTTCCTCTTTTGAAACAATCCATTATTCCTGTAATGACCCAGGAGCTTGACTGTAGGTTGAGGCAAGCACTTTTCATCTGCCTTAACTACCAAGTGAACCTTGCCTACCTGGGGCCCGACTGTCAGTGAACAATTCTCAAATTTGGAAGAAGGTAGGAAGGAGTATTCTCCAGAGAAACAGAACCAACAGGACATGTGTGTGGGGTGGAGAATAGGGGAAGATAAAGACACCGATTTAAAGAATTAGCATGAATCACATGAGTGATTGTGGAGGTTTAGTGAGTCCAAAATCTGATAGGGGAGGCTGGCAGGCTGGAGACTCAAGAAGGAGTTGCTGTTTAAGTCCAAAAGCAATCTGCTGTAGAACCAGGAAGAGCAAATGTTGCAGATAAAGTCCAAAGCAGTCTGCCACATAGTTTTCCCTTCCTCTGGGGAAGTCAACCCTTTGTTCCATTCAGGCCTTCACATAATTGAATGAGACCCACTCACATTATGACGGGTAATCTGCTTTATTCAAAGTCCACTGATTTAAATGTAAATCTCATTTAAAACACTCTTACACAAACATTCAGAATAATGTTTGGCAAATATTTGGTCACTGTGGTTCAGCCACATCAACATATAAAATTAACTATCACAAATAATATCTGAATGATGCCTGGCATTGCCTTGAATAGTACAAAGGTACAGAAAATTGCTTTGATGCGTCTATGCTTCCTGGTGCCTCAATCTTCTCTATTGGCACATTAAAAAAAAAAAAAAAAAAAAGCAAGGCTCAACTAAAACAAGTCACTTAAAATTAGAGGAATAAAAAGAAAAAGAATAAAAAAGAGTGAAGAAGTAAGCCTGTGGGATCTATGGGACACCATCAAGTGAACCAATATATATATTATGGGAGTTCAAGAAGGAGCAGAAAAAGAGAAAGAAAGCCTATTTAAAGAAATAATGAAGATCTCCTGAATCTGGGGAGGAAAATAGACATCCATACCTATGAAGCCCAAATGGCTCCCAATAGATTGAATATAAAGAAGGCTTCATCAAAATGCTATAATCAGATTATCAAAAGTTAGAGCTA